TCAATACTATTTTCAAATTTATTGCTGATTTACGTTTAGTAGCGAAAAATTGTTTAAATTGTACTCTCCGAGTTTTTAGCGCATTTCCCATTTATGGAAAAAAGCGCTATTATGCTCGTCATGTCCGTCCGTCTGTCTGTCTGTCTGTCTGTCCGTCCGTGAATTCATGTTTTCGTCGACGAGAAAATTCGCTTTCTGTCACTCACTGCAGTGAGTACTGAGTTACATTTTTTTCCATTTACGTGTATTACAAAAAGATAAATTACTTGAATAATATTATCAAAGCTTAGTAGATTAATATTAAGTACTGAAAAGTGAAATGGAGCAAATTATATTTTCAAAGTTAGGCTCATTGTACAGTGTGCACGTGACAATCACCAATTCACACACCATTGCGCTCACTATCATTCCCTGCTAACTGATGATGAAGCCAGCCAGTTTAGTTTTACGCAATTGGCGCAACTTTACCAATGTTCGACCTGCATTGTGCGGACGGCTGCGGATGCATCAAAGCTCGGATTACGGAATCCAATGAATGAGTGTTCGCATAATGCGCTCTTCAATTATCTAAATCCTCAAATCCACAAAAAATTCCCCGATTTGAATAACATTTCACCAAAATATGACCAAAAATGACCTTCTGATAATTAAAAACGCACAAGTCAATCAACGTAATGGCATTAAAAACGTTTAAGTAAGGATCTTTAATTTTTTGGATGAGCTGTTTGCATACAAAAAGTTCGAGATTATTTTGGGGTTATTGATCATAGACTTCCAATTCTCAAAGAAAAATTATTGGTAGTTTTAGAGGGTTTAAAGTATATAAACGCAATATGGATTTATTAGCTAGACGAGATAAGTTTATTTCAAACTTGGTTTATAAAGAACACTGACAGGAACGATGGTAGACTGTCATTGCTAATAATTTGATGAAATTCATAAGATATTCAATAAGTCAATAAAATGATAAAACAATAAACGTTATGTTCACACGTGTTCCGGAAGGTTATTATTTAGTGAGAGCGTCGAGAAAATCTAGCGTGCAAGCACAATTGAGATTCACGCACATCGAAGTTGCAAGCGCAATGAGCTTATGTTCTTGATTTTTTAAAACAAAATGAATGAAAATATAAATTTTATCAATTTCATTCTACTTTTTTCACGCGTCGCGTAAGCTGTGATGTTCTTGTGCCCAATTGAATGATCGAATTACTTACTGATCCAGTTGTGAAGTGCCATCTTATTACGATTACACGAGTGAATTAAATAAATTATTGCTTTGTAGATGCGATCTCTGGGAATAGTGATGTATCAATAGTTTAGTAAAAATGTTAAGTTTTCAATCGATTATGATGCTATTTCTCGAATCTTTCACTATAATTTGGTTAGAAATAATTTTTTGTTGAATTTCACAGTTTTTAGTTACGAAATTATTGGACACTATTTAAGTCTTTAATTTCAGCAGTGAAGCGATATAAGAAACCATGGCTCACTTCAATGTAGAAAAAAAAATTTCCCAAAATTCCACGTTCATCGAACTTTGTTGTGAAAATTTGAAACTTCAATGCTGTAAACATAATCAGAAACTTTTAGTAATCATGGAGGTTTGATTTGTGCCACAACTTGAAGAAAATTGAGTAAAAGTTAATTTTACTAGTTAAATTATCACCAGATTTTAATTAATTGTCACCAGAATGTTCTCAATGTTTATTAAATGATGAAAAATTTTCATTTTAGTTAAATTATCAAAAATTTAGTGCTTCTTATTAAATGATGAAACGTTTTCTTTTTAGTTCAAGCATCACAAATCTACTGCTGTTATTTAAATGATTAAACTTTTTCTATTAGTTCAATCATCATAAATCTACTGCTGTTATTTAAATGATATTAGTTCAATCATCACAAATCGACTGCTGTTATTTAAATGATGAAACTTTTTTCTTTTAGTTCAATCATCACAAAGCGACTGCTGTTATTAAAATGATGAAACTTTTTCTTTTTAGTTCAATTATCGCAAATTTACTGTTGTTATTTAAATGATGAAACGTTTAATGGAGAGAGCGCCGCCCCTCTTGAGGGGGCAGCGTTCGGTCCCGCTGGGACGCTGCGTTCAGTGTATCGGAAAATAGCTCTTTGCTAAGACCCTTGCTACCGCCATCATTTATATATGTCTTGTATCCATCCCTCTTCTGCCTGCTCTTCCTTTTACTCATTTTCTTGCTCCTGTAATTTTCTCACTCTGGTTTTCTTATTCAATTCTTTCTCGGTCATTACAAACCAACCAGACATCTGACGTCGAATCAACGTTGAATTGAACTTTGCTTTGTTGATTCAATGGTAATTCAAATTCGTTGCAACTTCGTTTGCATTTTTTTCAGTTTCTCGTTTTCATTTAATGCTTGTTTGTATTTCTACTTTTCATCAACGACAATAGCGGCTCAATTAAGAGAAAAAAAAGGAACAACGTTAATACTAACTCGCGTATGTGAACGGCGAATATCTATGGGCTGCAAAGCGACATTTCACGACACTGGACGAATTTAAACGCTTCTTAACAACATATGCTCCAGTGGCGCTGTCTCGACTCGAGTGGCGTTTCTCATTACACGCTGAAGTTGCGATACGGTGATCGCTAAAATGCGCTCCAGTGGCGCTGTCTCGACTCGAGTGGCGTTTCTCATTACACGCTGAAGTTGCGATACGGTGATCGCTAATGGCCGACCTCTCATCGTCTGACGAGGGCTAGTCATCCCTCGCCGACCTCTCATGTTCTGGACGAGGGCTAGTCACATCCCTTGTCGACCTCTCATAGTCTGTACGAGGGCTAGTCACATCCCTCGCCGACCTCTCATGTTCTGGACGAGGGCTAGTCACATCACATCATGGTCTGGACGAGGGCTAGTCACAGCCCTCGTCGACCTCTCATGGTCTGGCTCGTCGTACGCACCCTCGTATAGCCGCCATCTGTGCAGCACGATCGGATGCTTGTGTTGTATAGCGCTGCTCCTGTTTGCCAGATCATCTTACCGCATCTGCGGGTAATAACACGACAAATCTGCCTCATGATAGCCTTTCAATGAGGCAAGGCTGACATGCGCTCCCCAAACTGCAGAATAGAATCAGTGTATTCTATTACATTGCAAGTTCGTGTTTATGTTCATGTCTGGTAAAATTACTCCTAATTTGTCGAATCTTCTTACCGTGATTGCGAGTGAAAATTACGCTGACGACGACTTTCTCATGAGACTGCAGTTGAATTCTGAAGAAAAATCTTGTTTCTAGAATTTCTTAGTGAGTTGGTGCAGAGAAAAGAATTTTGCTGAACGCACTTTCAGCAAAGTTGTGGATTATTTTGTGATGACAAAAAAGAGTTAGAAAATTTCTAATGTCGTCTTAGGAAAAAAACAGATACAAGGAACCTTGGGATGTGATTACCTGGTTTTAATAATAAGCAATTGTGTGTTGAATCATCATTATTACAATGATACTTGAAAATGCGATCATTTGCTGAAAAAAATATTGGATATTTCCATGTACAGTATGTCTTGCAATAACAAATGGTAGAATATTTTCCAATCAATGCTTACAGATTTCTTGACGATTTTTCAATTGATCTTTCATTTATTTTGTGTTTTTTTTTTCATTTGATTGTATTGTTTATCTTAATTGTAGACGCATCTTTTTAGATACCGTCGTAAATAAGCTTAGAAATTGATAAACAAATGCATGATCTTCATTGATTAATTGCATAAATAATAGTGGACAAATTGCATCAAAATGTTTTAGTTATTGATTGCATATTTTTTTCTGTTAATTGCATAGAGAATAGTTCATTTTCCGCTGAAAAAGTGTTTCTTCATTTCACAAACAATCGGTCACTGATTCATGAAAATGATTCATAAATTGCATTAAAAATATTTAATTGCATATAATAAATGATTAATTAATTAACTGCGTAATACTAAATTGCTCAGTTTGTTATTTTAATAATTTCATTATTAATGACAGTAATAAGTTCATTAACTTTGTTAAGGCAGATGGCAGAGTTTAGTGAAAAGTCACGTCCGACTATGGAATTAATTAAGTTAAGAGTATGTGTAGGTTTTTGTTATTGATTAGATGAGATTTCTTGATTAGTTAGTACTTGATTAGAAGATAGACACAGACACGTAGTGTGAAGTCGAATTGCCTTGTTCTTCTCTTTCAGTTAAGTAATACTCATATGCTCTTGTATAATTTCGAAGGGATAAAATGAGCTACGGAAAAATGAAATGAGTTTAAAGGAGCTGGCAGCGGCGCAGGGCTCGTAAACGCTCCCCTCCAAATAAATTAAGTTGAAACAGCGTTGATTACCGGTTGATTCCGTTGAAACAAACGTTTTATGAACGTTATTTCAAGATGAGATGGGTCGCGTTACCCCGTCATCGTGCGCTAACGAGACGCGGGGCTCCGGTTACGCGGATTTGTGCTGCGCGTCCGGCTGTGTCGGCTGCTGCTCCGGCGCTCCGGCTTCCGAGTTTGTTTTTGTGCGTCGGTAGCTCCCTTCGTCTTATCTCCATGTGGATCATGACAATTTGGTTACTTGTTTTATTTTTGTGAAATTCTTGATCATGTGTTAAAAAAAAGTATAAATTTCTATGGACAAAAAATAAAAATAAAAGTTTGGTTTATGGTATTATTTGTTAAGAGGTCCTTTCTATGCATTTATTTAGATCATAAATCAAAATTTGGTTATTAATATATTTATATTTCTGTCGTAGTCTTACATATCCGCGATAAATTAAACGATGCTACAATCGTCCTGAAAATATCAAATGTTGCAATGTTGAGAGAAAATTAGCAATTTTTGTCGACGTGTAGCCTGTCAATAAAACATACTCTTTACTGTAACATGTTTCATTTATATGCAATACAACAATGAAATGAATAATTGAGCACCGCAGTGCTTATATAGTTTTGTACACATTGGCATGTCTCTAAGACTTGATTGAGGACACTGTACAGTCAGGAGAAGATGTGAGATGTGCTGGTGATGTTATTGAACGAGTGGTGAGTGCCTGGCAAGATCGTGAACCACTGGATAAGATAGGAGTGGTGGTGTTGGTATTGAGTAAGTGGTGAGTATTGGTGAGTGATGGTGTTGTAAGAGTAATAAGTATTATTGTTTGACGAGTATGGTGAGTGCTGTTTCTCACCATACTCTGTGTCTCTGTGGTGTTGGTGATCATTGATCAAGTAGGTATCTGAAGTAATATCATTAACAGCACAATTCTCTTTCGCAATTTTTTTCGCTGAAAAACTCCAGGCGAGTTAGGCATCAAGAATCTTTCATATTTACATCTATTTGTTGAATTTGAATGTCCGACCGTTGGCCGACGCTCACTTGTCATCATTAGTTCATAAGGTCCAGGGTTGATTTATGCGCTGAAAAATGAAGAGTTTTGAAGCTTCGTCGCTTGAACTGCAAAAGGTGACGCTCAGTGCGCGGCCGTTGTGACTCATCATTATCCGTTACGATCTCCGGCTCGCTTCATTCTGTTTTTTCATTGCGTTTTAATTCCAAAAAACTGCAGTTTTCTCCCGGGCTTCCGGGAATGTTAGGCGCCGTGCAAAACAACCTTGCATGTGAAACTCCTCGTGCTCACAGCAGCTGTCACAATGTCGAGCCTGTGATGAGATCCTGCGTCTGATTTTTCACTTATTTAACGATAGATGTTGCCAAAAATGCTTTGTGAGACACGGTTTTATTAGGTATAGTTGCTGTGTTTGGCCGTTATTGCTTGCATAGTTCGGTGAAATGCCTTTTAAGGCTATGGTACAGGCATGCATGGTAACGGTCGTGCACGTATGATATGACCAAAGACATTAAAGGAACTTCTAGTTTGTTGCACTTAATTGAACCTTTGCAAAATATTTCCAGACTTTATTTTCCCAGAACAAAACGCAATTGGTGTGTATTTCAAATACAGCATATTCGATTATTTGTGGTTTATATAACAGTTATCTTCGCGTACACAAACGGGTTTAGAATAAAATTTCGTTCCTTTTATCTTTGGAAAATATGTTTTGCCGAAGACTCGCATTCTTTCTTACGGCAAACGAAAAAAACTTGTTCATTTAATTGCTGGAAAATTTCAAAATTGTGACTTTATTACTTCAGTGATCGAAGTGCGTTTTTGCAAAGATTCGCATTTGTTTTTACAGCAAGTGAAAAACTTTGCTATGTACCTCGCATGGTCTCCTGTAGCGACCATCAAGGCAGCGTCTGAGTCTGGGTCATATAAATACCTTCACGGATACCGATGACTTAGCTTATTCTTGGGCAGTGAAACTGCCTTATTACTACGACCGACCTCATCTGGCCCGCAAAACATGACTTTTGCCATTTCAATTTTGCATGTCACATGTTTTTGTCTGGGATGTCGGCATGACGACAGCTCGACAAAAGCGGCGTGTCGGTATCACAGGTCCGATCCATTGGTCACACCACCTCATTATGTGGCGCTGCTGCACTCTGCGCCGCTACCGTATACTCGCTGGCTTATGTATATTGTTTGGTGCTTATTTTGCTTTGAATGTCTTCTTTATTACAGGTATTTATTATTTATATTGTGTTATTATTTATGAAATTACATGCAGCTTTGTGAATTTTTTTCTCCAATTTATGTTTAGTAACAATCTGTAGGTTTCCTTGAAGACAAGAACTTATTTTTCATTAAAAATTATCTTATTGATCTTTTATAGTACGCCAAATTCAAAGTGAACAAAAATAGAATTGACAGTAAGAATTACGTTCTGCATGGTCTTAGACTAGAATATATTCTGTCGAACTATGTCAATATATTTTTCTGCACACATATAATGGTTATTCGTGGTCATGCTCGTTTCTAATTCTCGTTCCCATTTAATTTTTTAGAAAGCCTTGCTCATATCGATATAATTTCTACATTTTCTTGATTTTCTCGGTGCTTCCTCTGATTCTTGTTAAATTGATTTTTATTTTGATAAATTTATGTTGATTAAACAAAAATAAACTTTAATTTAACGTCCGATGCCTGTTGGGTCGGTGCCCGAGGCTGGGCATCCCAAATGGCCACCTCTTTTAAGGTCTCGGCTCTGGCGGACACTGATCCAAATGAATGGCCACTGACGCCCCTCTCCACCGCCCCCTTACTGGACACTGAACCTTCTCCCCTCTCCATCACATGAATTCCCCACACTCCCTCTCGTGCCCCCCCCCCCTTACACTCCCCTCTCACTGCCGCCCACTCTCCACCGCCGCCCCCAACAAACGCCCCCTCACCCCTACAATTCACTCTTTGACTCCACCTCTATCTTGAGTCTAAATACTGAAGCATCGGAAGTTTACAACACCGAAGTTCAGTGCAACGCATCGCTTTAGATATTAAACTTGAGCTTAACATGATAAGTCAAAACAGTGCCATGAAATTATCGCCTACACAATAAGTCGAAAAAAACGATTTTAGAAGCTAAAATTTTGGAGTTGCTGCCGGAGACCGGTACACTTGATTGCTCGGCTTGAATCGGAACAGCTGAATGAGAAGGATGTGCATGTATATTTCCAGTTCAATAACTCCTTCCTTTATGCTCAGCAACTCTAGAATAAAAGTTGTGTGACGTCATACAAACGTACGCTGATGCGCAATGCGCACAACTGGATTTGTAAACTAAAGAAGATCGCGTTTAATCACCGAGAGTCTCTCTATATACCTGAAGAAAGAGCTGACCTGAAAATTGTTCATCGTCAGTACCCGAAATTTGACATTTTGCAAGTACTTCCCGAATAACCCTTTCAACTATTTGGACATAGTTTCTGATGCAGAACCGAATTATGCGAATAAACTGCCAACAATGTTTCTATTAACATATTTGAGAGCAGCCACATTTGGGTAATCGGAATGAGTTATCGATCACGAAATCTACTTGCACAATCCCCTCATTCAGCTGTTCGAATTCAAGACAAGCTATTAACTGGAAAGGCTTACCAAAAGTCCAGCACAATGTGCCAGTGCGTTTTTTGTTAATATGCATATAGTGTAATGGTGGTGACGTTTGTAACAGTGATGTGATGGTGGTGACGTTTGTAACAGTGATGTGATGATGTTGTTGCGAACAGTGACGTCGAAGAGATCATTCCTGTCGAGGCATATAACGTACGTAGATGTTGGTCGCAGGACACACTGGCACGCACAACATTCAAGGCACGCACGACGATCATAGCGTGTATGCGTGACATACATATAAAACGCTTGACGCGCACGCGCGATGCTTGGTGCAAAAGCTCACATTTCATATTTGATAAAAAGGCACACATACCACGCATGCATATTTCACATACACGACACACAATACTCATTCCTACACTCGCACATTTTACACATCCCACACACAGCACACATCGCACACGGTACACATGCCACACACAGCACACATATGACACACCGTACACATGCCACACACAGCACACATGGCACACCGTACACATGCCACACACATCACAACCGTGCACATGTCACACACAGCACACATCACCCACGGTACACATGCCACACACGCACACATCACACTCCGTACACATGCCACACACAGCACACATCACACACCGTACACACGTCACACACAGCACACATTACACACGGTACACATGCCACACACAACACACATCACACACGGTACACACGTCACACACAACACACATCACACACCGTACACACGTCACACACAGCACACATCACCCACTGTACACACGTCACACACAGCACACATCTCAGCAGCAGCAGGAGGAGCGTCAGCCGTGCCAGTGCCGCGGTGGGCGGCGCTGCCCCCCTCGTGGCCACCCCCTCGTGGCCCCCTTTGCTTCCCTCCATTTTCTGGCCCTCGTACCTGCCCCCCTCACCCCTCCTCCGCCCCTCTTTTATCCCTCCTTGCGTGGCCCTATTACTCTCGTCCTGCTCCTCCTCTAGGTCTTTCGCCCCTTATCCTTTCTTTCTTTCTTTGCTTTCTTTCTAATGTCACAATTTATCTTTCTAAATCTCTTCTCCTCTAAAATCTTTTTCTTATTTTTCCCTTTGCTTGTTTTTTTCTAAAATCTCTGTGCTTCTCATTGAATATATATGACTCCGATTTTTAAAATTTGTTCTTTTAATCGAGCGCAAATTTTTCTGCCTTGCATTTCTCTTTGTTTAATTCATGAGCTAAAACAAGCGCTTCCCGTCACGTGTAAACCTGGCTGCCTCTGGCTCATGCTTCGCACCTCATTTGTCGAAGCTTAAATTTTCAAGCTCATTTTTGCTTCCAAGAGGAATGAAATTGTTCGAAATTGATGCATGGTTTATTGAAAACTTGATCGCGCTTGCGTTTTGTGAAATTTCGGTTTTTGATAATAGAAACTAAACAGCACATTTAGTTTTTTAGTCAGATCGATGATACTTTGAGACCCCAAACGACGAATCTATCTTATATTTCAAGATCGATGTTATTTATATGGAGACCTCAATTGCACATCTTGCTTATGGCGGACGAACGATTTTTGATTGAGAGCTCAAACGGCACACACTTCCTATTTTTTTAATGTTACATTTGAAGCCTAAATAACGCGTCTTTCTTTACGATGCCAGATCGATGCCCGCCTTTCGCCTATCCAGCGATAGGAGAAATAAATGTTGACCATCTACAGGTCAGCGACCCGCGCTCGCCATGTATCATTTCTAATCTCATGTAATCTGCGCTCGCTTTACTCGCCGCTGCTTTATTGCATGCTTGTGATCTGACACGTCCTTTCCTGCAGTTTTACTGCGTCTCTGTATAACTGTGGCACATCTACAATTTTTCTACTTACTTCGCGGTATTTGTTGATGAATTGAATTCTTTGAGGAATTTAGTTGTTTGAATTCGTTGAGGAATAGAATTCTTGAAATTAGTTGTGCAACTATTTTCTTGAAATTTGTTCTGGAACTGATTTGTTGGAATTCGATGAGGAAATTCTGTTTTTATGATCCATGTAATCGCGCTTATGTTGATTTGTGCCATTAATTTGCATTTGTGTTTTGACGATCTTGTCTGTTCTTTGAGGTGTTCGGTCTAGCTGTACTGGTCTCGGTATAATCGCTCGAGGTCTTCATCCACGGTGTACGGTCTCGATGTTCGTCTTCCGTGCTCAGTTTCGATGTTCGGCCTTTGAGTTCGGTCTCGGTGTTTATCGATGTTCAGTCTCGGTGTTCGGTCTCGGTGTTTATCGATGTTCAGTCTCGGTGTTCGGTCTCGGTGTTTATCGATGTTCAGTCTCGGTGTTCGGTCTCGGTGTTTATCGATATTCAGTCTCGGTGTTCGGTCTCGGTGTTCGGTCTCGGTGTTTATCGATGTTCAGTCTCGGTGTTCGGTCTCGGTGTTCAGTCTCGGTGTTCAGTCTCGGTGTTCAGTCTCAGTGTTCGGTCTCGGTGTTCGGTCTCGGTGTTCAGTCTCGGTGTTCGGTCTCGGTGTTCGGTCTCGGTGTTCGGTCTCGGTGTTCGGTCTCGGTGTATTGGGTGGCGCGCTTCCCTCTGCCGCTGCTGCCCCTGCGATAAGCGGCTTAGCGGAACTGCCTTCGACCGTGCCGCCGCCGCCGCCTCCGTTGCTGTTGTTCCTTCTCTTACTCGTGCTATTGCTGCTTCCTCTTGTGCTGCTGCTGCTGCTGTGTCTGGTGCTGCTGCTGTGTCTGGTGCTGCTGCTGCTGTGTCAGGTGCTGCTGCTGCTGCTGTGTCTGGTGCTGCTGCTGCTGCTGCTGTTGCTTCGTCGTATGCTGCTGCTGCTGCTCTTCTTCTTCTGCGTCTGGTGCAGCTGTTCATCATACAGCTGCTGCTGTTAACAAAGTACTACCAGCTCCCTTAAATGGCACTTCTTATTGTGGTATTTGCTTTTGTTTTTAGTGCGTCTGCTACTACTTTTCGTCGCTTCATGGGTCATCTTGACTCTGCACAACCAAAATTTATTCACCGGCGTGTATAATTTTCTTCATTTAACTTGAATCAAAATGAGTTCTTCGTACGGATGAATTCGTGGTGATGAAATTACTCTTGAGTTCGTCTCCTAATTTCCTGCGTCTTCTTCGCTTTGAAATACCTATTAAATATTGGTATACTAAATAGAGCATCAATTAAATATAACGTGATTCCACTTTCAAAATCCATCATTAGTTCGCGCGTTTAGTTTCTTGTATCACAGCGGCCGTGCCCGCTGACATTTCAACGTAGGGGCTGGTGAGGTCTGATTTATTGCTGCTTTAATTATAATGATTTGCTGTGGCCTGCAAAGCAGACACTCTAGCGAAGTCCCCCTTTACGTGCAGGACTTATTCTGCTGCACCTGCTGCCGTTCCCGCACCTCTTAGGCACTACCGCTGCTTTGTAGACCTGTGTAACTGTCAGGTGTTGGATACCTGTGTTGTGTGTAGGGCTCTGCAACTGTGTAGTCCTGTGCACTTATGTTGCGCGTACAGCTGTGTATAGGGCTGTGCACCTTTGCAGGTCGTTGTATTTGTGTTATGTATTAGGTTGTGTAACTGTGCACGTGTGCTGGGTGGCATGATGTTGACTTGTGTTATGTATAGGGCAATGGACCAGTGCAGAGCTGGGTACTCTTGTGTGGCTGTGTAATGTGTACTTTTGTATGGCTGTGTACTTTTTTAGAAGATGTGAACTTGTGTAAGACTGTACATGTGTAGAGTTATGTACTTGTGTTTTGTGTGCAGTGCTAAATCTTGTTTGTGGATGTGTTACTCACACCACATTAGTGTGCGACTTCCTTGTGTGGCTGTGTTATGCGTAACTAATTAAAATCTTATTTCTCACGCCTATCTAGAGTATGAAGTCTTAACTGAGTTATTATTTATATTATAAGAATGCATTATTCTTGTTCACAGGCTGGATGACGACCACCGCATCGCTCAGGACGTATCGCGCGCCAGCATCAAGGCTTCACATGACAAGTGCAGCGTCATGTGAGGTGCGTCATGTGAGGTGCGTCATGTGAGGTGCGTCATGTGAGGTGCGTCATGTGAGGTGCGTCATGTGAGGTGCGTCATTATCCACGACAAACCAGAAGTTTTAAAGTCAGTGTCACACACTTAAAATATACGTACATATCATCTTACTATCAAGGCATTTTCTCTGTGTAAGTGGCAAACATTACCTCAATTTCCAATACTAATTGTTTGATACGACTTTTTCAACGGCCTTTTTGTTCCATTTCCAACAGAGATGCAGTGGCTGCCGCGGCCATCCTTCCAGTCTACCGTCCTCTCTTCCTCCTCTGCTTATTAATTGAACTAGTTAGGGCATTTCAGTTCACTTTATGTACGACGTTAATGTAGATTTATACTTGCTATTGAGTTGTTATTGTTTATATTTAGGGATCTAGTATGAAAACTAGTAGGAATTCCCCCATAAATCCTAGTTTGCATGGTAAATCGTAGGTAAATGGGGCCCACTGGTTAGTAAATGGGGCCTGCATCTCACCCGTTCTGTACGCCATGCTTGATTGTGCGCTCCAAATGAACTCTAGTTAAAATGACTGCTAAAATTCTCCACACGTGGAGAATGAATTATTCTCGTCGAGTCATATGTAGTACGTACGTAGGTATGATTGTCAATAATACTGAAAAACTCGTGCAGCACGTGCCAAACAACTGCTTCATGTTAGTCATTTCAATCGTTGTGAAGTGCGAGATGACAATCGTACGTAGGTGACCAGAAGTAATTTCGTTTAATCGTTTCATAAAATTTCTGGGTTTTTCTCTTGAACACTTAACATAAAAAGCGCATCCTGCGACGGTTCTAAAAATTGCGTATTTTGTGTTTAGAGGCAAAATTAAAAATATCAGTTTTTGAAACATTACGAGACTAATTTGACATCTCGTATGGGTAAGACATTGAGCGTTTTCCACACGTTTCACAGCTCGTGATGACGAGAGGTATTTATTCATTGTTATTTTAAGTGCACGTTTGGCTTGTCGCCTGACGATTCGTTCCAGATTTCTCCAGAAGACAAAAATTTTGAGGAAAATGATCGCAAATTTTGTGTTTCAAGTCTACAATTGATGATCAAATCATGAATTTGAACAGCGTTTGGCTCATGTAGTTCCGATGGCATTATGGTTTAAGGCATCGTGCGCCTGATCTCAGTCTGATTTGGTGTTGAGTTAAATTTTACATCATTAATTGTCATAAACAATCAATAGTGATAAATCTATAGAAGATGCTGAAATAGCATAAGATTTGCTCTTTCAGTGACAGTTTCTATTTTATCTCGATTTCGAATGATGTTTTGCTCTACGTTACCTATTTAAACTAGTCTTTATTTTTGCTCTACCATTTAATTATCGAACATGACAGAATGTCCTATTATGCTTACGGTAGTTTGTTTTAATCTCTGAGAAGTTGTTGAGCCAAAGGAATAATGTGGGTGCCATCTATCCTCTAGTCTTCATTTTGTTTGGCGGTAATTCTGTCGTGATAGAACTTAATCAATCAAATGTTAATTTCATGTTCCTTACCTCAACGCGAATCTCATTATATCTACTGCATGTTTACGGTCGTATAAGTTATCTTAATTTCTTATCCTCTTTTCCTCCCTCTATTTACTTTCCGTATTTTCGTATTTAGACGGGGAAATGATACCATGTTCGTATTTTTTTCGGCATGTTCTGCGTTGCAAAATTTTTTCAGAATTCACCTAGATTTCGATTGATTCCGCAGATAGTTGAAATCCCGGGATTATTTTGTCAAAGTCTGTACAGTAACTATATTAATGAGTTATCACACAAGCATAATGAAGTGTACATATAAATTTGGTGATGTTTCGTTCACAATATTTACTTAGAGCTTGAAATGTTTCCCACCTACTGTGCTGTGAATAGCTTGACGATCGAAGAATACCTTCCACAAGTTCGTAGTCTTAAGGAAGCGTGAAAAGTTACCATATGTTGATATTGTAGACGTTATATCAACGGCCATGAATCTCTACTTGTCTAGTTAATAATTTTCAACATACTTCCACGAATGGACTAAAGCTATAAGCTAAAATCGCATGCGTTTTTCATCTGTTGCCTGCATGGGCTGGCATTATAGAAGGTGGTTTCGTGTGCTATTGCTTAAAGGAAATCATTTTCTTAAATTTTTAACGAGACTCGCTCTAGCCCATGACATTATCCGTTTGTTGAATCCTAGTAATAGAGATTCACGATACGCTAAAAAAATTTGTTGTTAATTAAAGATATGATGACCATGATTTGTATCAGGAAGGGATTTACTCGTTATAGATGCGGTGTAATTTTCGACGGTGTGTTCAGTAAACCTTGAACAGAGATTCTAGCGTAGCGTAAGTACCTGTACTCTAGCAGTAGCATAATTAGTGCGTGTACTCTTTCTATTGTGAGCTTTGTATTTGCTCTCAGATTGTATCCATATTTTACTTTTCCTGAACATCTGATGCTAGTCGCTGGTTCATTTTATTTCGTTGCATCATTAAATGGTGATGCAAAACTTTCTTAATGTAATCCATTATTTTTGATTATTTTTTTTTTTGAGTTTAGGATCTCTCATTAATAGTAAGTTTCTTTCAAAAAATGAGTGCTACATAAGTTGACCGAAGTTGTTGAATGTCTCAATTATTTGCTGCAAATGAGTGAGAATTGTGAACTTTGATCAGCATTCAGTCGGAAACTGAAGTCGGTCAATTGCCATGCAGCCCGAAGCGGAGGCTGCTAATGGAGCAAGAATCTCTATTGCACCCAAAAACTTGAGTTATAAGTTCTTATTTATTGTAATTATTATTTGTTATTTGTCTTCTTAAATTCCAATTTTTATTGTTTACAGCAGACAAATTTGCCATGTTTTCTCCTTTATGATGTCATCATCATCATTCGTGAGTTTCCCGTATGTATAAAAAAATGATCGATTGATAATTTAAATTTCGACATCTTTTATATATTTCGCAACACAAACTACCGAAGACTCAGCAGAACATTTCACAACATTTCAATGAAGCGCCTTCTTCCTAGTCACAAGTTTGTTTTTCTGTTCTTGTATTGAGTTTCTGTAGCGTTTTGTCCATCGTATTTTATGTTTACTTGTAATGCAAAGAAACGAGCTGAATTGCGAAATAATATTTAATTATTATAAACGATAAATAATCACTTCGGCGTGCCCAGCTTCAACTTTTATTGCAAATATAGTGATGATCTCAGGAATCAATATCAACGTTATCTCCTTGTTTTATTTCGCTGCCTGAAACTTTAATTACTTTCCTTAATTTTCATAATAACAACTTGCCGGAAATGTTTCGCATCTGTAAGTATGATCTTCCAGCTCAGTGGAAAGCAAACATATTAAATTGTTTGCGATTATTTTTTTGTCTCATCGAAGGAATGAGATTAATTTGATATTACAGCTAATCAGGATGAAGGATGATGTTCAGCCATCTGCTGCCGTCATTGCCATGGTTGTACACGCATAACAGGGTAATGGTTATTTTTATTAATTGCAACTACATTTAATTGCAACTCGGTAATTAAACTGTCGTAGATATTCACTCATGTTGTATAATGAATTGACTGCACGCGAGTTGATTGCATGATCAGCATGCTGGTCCCATCCATTCACAACAAAAGCACTATTATTGCTGAGGGGTAAAATTAAGAACTCCTTTCTACGCGACATTGTACAATCATGTCACTGCTAAGTATAATTACTTTATCGTCGTATAAAGAAGTTAATTAGAGCAACGTAATTTTTTTCGCTTACAGTTACTATTCAGTTGTGTAGATTTTCGCAGATCGTAAAGACATAGTAAGTGTGAGCTACTGTAATGATCAAGATTGACCTACGGTGCACTGCACTGATCTACACTGATCTAACCTGATCAGTCATGACCTTCTCTGATCTGCACCGATCTGAACCGATCTGCACCGAACACGCGATAAAACGTTGAATGCCAATCACTAAACGAAGACCAAATATTTCACGACACTCAAATATATCCGAGCATTTTGAAATGCTCGGCCTTCATGCAATGTTTAAAATGGGAGCTTTAGTAAGTCAATTAGGATTTTTCAGAAAGCCGTTAAATATTCTCTTTAATATTCAACGCGATAATTGCGTGATGGTAAATTGATTTGTCTTTAATATCTGTCCTGCGTGATGCATGATCACTGGAATCGGTATATGGAGGCTCATGTTCGGTCTTCGATGATGCGGCTCTAATTTGCTACATTGAAATAATCAAAATTATTAAAAACGTATTTCGTGACTCCATTACTTTTTGTCAGTTGAAGCGTTCAAGTTGTATCAATTCCGTACACAAAATTTTGATTAATAAGTAAATAATTATGTACATGAGCTCCTCAATCGATAATTCTTTCATAGTCAAAACGGTAAAAATTCTCCAAAAACGCATGTTTGAGGAATATTAATCCATTCATAGCCACTTTCATTCCGTACGAACGTTTCATGTTATAATATTAGCTCAATTGTCATCATTGTTAACATCATTGTTATCATCATTGTTTAGTATACTGCGTGTTGCTTCTGAAGCGACTCTCCCTGTCTAAACTTAGTGAATCATTCACAGCTATTGACATAATCACAGGCTTTTAATTATGCCTTCGTTGATTTTCTATGAAAATCGTTGTGTTAATTTTCCTGAAATCATTATAAATTGTGATAATTTCCACGAAAAATAAATTTATTATTCAAGCTTCATTATCTGCCTTTTATTTGTTAAATGTCAAGTCGAATTAATTTATTATGCACGCTTCACAAATTTTTTATATTGAACCTTCAAGAGGCTAAATTTATCATGTAATTGCTGAATAAAATAATAAATGAGGAAATTTTATGTCAGCAGTATTTGTTCTGATGTCAAATTCAATTTAAATAATTGTTGGTTATTTGAATGTGATATTTGATTCGCGTATTTCTATATCCTTCTTAATGGTAATTAACTAATTGATGCAACGATTTTCTACACTTAAATTTCTTTACATGTATTAATTATAATTACTTTATTATAATTAGTGTACATACGAGCTTACTCGACGCATGGTGTTAATGAGGCGAATTGGTCGGTCCATATTTATTGCTTGGATTTTATTTACTGACAAGAATAGTACGGATAAATATTGGAAAAGCAATACTTATATAATTATTTTGTTTAATTGCATATTATTTCAAGACTTGAGATTTAAACATAAGCTTAATCATGAATCAGACGCATAAATGATAAAGTGAGATTTTTTTCAGTTAATATTGTCGTTTTTGCTACTCAATTATTCTGAAATTGATTATTAAAAATAATGCAGACTATTTGTTACTTTCGTGTTTAATGTTACTTATTTCATGATTCATTCGATTCGCTTTTATCATTACTGCTTTTGTGCTTATTTGTTGTCCGTGACTTGATGCGTTTAAGTTACTGCCGAACTAAATGTGTATGTGGATCCAGCAAGAGTTAGGTGTCCAGTTCTCCAAATAAAGACAAATCTCTAATTTGCATAATTTAACATAGCTTATATGTAATCACTTCATGCGTTAATTATAAAATTCGTTAATAATTCATATCTCTTAGTGTACCAATCGCTCTTATTCCGACGTATTTACTGGCCTCAATATCTTCAATTATTAATTTGTAAAGAAAGATAGGATAATTTTCCAGATAAATTGCCGATTGCTACCTCAAGTAGGTAGCTATCGGCGCTGCTGTGTGCAGGCAAATATTAACAATTAACAATTATGAACTGGAAATAACATAAATGAACTGGTAATTATTATTTTAGTTAATAACGAAGTTTGCCTAGGTTAAAGAAAATGTCTCGTTGCTTCTAGGTTGCCCTGAAATTGATACAAACATAGCGATTGCAATCTATTAGTTGTGGATGTAATATGTATATATTCTTTGCTCAGTCTTTGACTATTTGCCTTAGTAGATATTGTGAATATTCCTGATCATGAATATCAGCGAAATATTCTTATCTCATTAGATTTAATTTTTTGTTTGTCTGAGAACAAAATATTCGTGTCCGAGGAATGATTTACGAAAAATGAAGGTTGATGTTCATCGCAACATTAATTAAAGCATTACAATTTACTATATTTGTACAGAACAGTTCCTCTGCGGAACATCATACACAAGTCTAGTGAAATTTGTGCAAACCATTTTCCTGGAACGTGAAGTAGTTCCAAGATGCCCTGAGTTTACGGTGAACATGTACATATATGTAATGGTATAGTTCGGCAGTAGTTCTTCCTTTTGGTAAGCTTAATTATAGTCCAGAGAGTGCTTTTTATTATTTAAATTCATGTTTTTTAGGTGAATAACATTTTCTAATTTTTTTTTTCAATTAAAAAAAATATTGAAAAGAAATAAAAAGAAAACCCAAGTCAATAATGAGAATTGTTCTCTCACTTCTCTGGTCTTTAATCAAGCTTGCATCAACCGAATCATGTGCACGGTGAAGTAAATCGTGTGTTTGATAAGAAAGTTCTGTGTTTGAAAGACACAACGCTGTGTTCTGCAAATGTATTTCTGTGTGTTGCAGACATTCGGTGTATTGTCAGCTCGCTGCATGTTTCACTCATCACCAGGTGTTTATTACTCGCTTTCCTGAATAAATAAAGCGGTCATTGACTTCTTGACATTTCTTATGCCTTTTCTACCATCTAAAGACGTCTGAATTAATAGAATTCTTAAAAATATCTCCAGTTTGGCTAAGCATTAAAAAAAGAATTAAATCATGTATTTTTCTTAATACCAAACTGTGTGGTTTAAGAGACTTGGTTGCATTTGGAAACGAAGCATTGAATGGCATGAAAATTGTAGCTACAATGCAGCGATAACTACGCCAGTAATTACAAGGATTCGACTTGAAAGAAAACTAAGCGAGAAAACATGAACATTTTTATTGCGCACGCAAGATTGTACAGAGTTTACAGAAGATGTACATGCACGCATTGCTGCCTCTGTCAGCACGACTGATGCAGAAACATGATTGAATTAAATCATTCATGGCTGATTACAAGCAATACGAACCTCGCACCTCATTCATGTATGATAACCATCAAACACGTCGTTTTAATAAAACCAACTTCAAGATTTTCCAGTGTGAAAGCTGGTTTAAATTGAACATAGAGATAACAAATCAATAAATTACTAACAAATACTTTCAACCATAAATTAATACAGTCAATTAATACATTTATTAATTTGTTCCATAATTAAACACTAGCTTCTCTGGATCCCAACTCGGGGCAATTAATTTAGAAATGATCGCTTAATTTCAGTTGCAGTTCTGCTTCGTCTGACTAAAATATAATCTCAATGTGAAGAAGATTATTTGTTCATATTTTACAAGTTAATGAGTGTACACAGCATTTGTTGGTATTAAAAACATTATATTAGATTGAAGAAATGTAAATTAGATTTTAACACCTGAAAATGATTTGAGTGGAAACCTTAACAGTCAGTGCAAAATTAACGCCCGTAAAGCCTTTAATGTCGTCACGTGACTCATATTAAGAAAATTTCATGTACAAATTTTTATAACTTGAAAGAATCGCACGAAATATTCGTGGCGATTGTCAACTGGTGCAACTTTTTGCAAAACATGAATAGTGTTTGGCTCTAATTCAGAGCCAAAAAATATGTTCAACCATTTGGCTCTACGTAATTCAGAGCCAAACACCATTCATTCATTTGGCTCTAATTCAGAGCCAAACACCATTCATTCATTTGTCTCTACGTAATTCAGAGCCAAACACTATTCATTCATTTGTCTCTAATTCACAGCCAAACACCATTCATTCATTTGGCTCTACGTAATTCAGAGCCAAAACACTATTCATTCATTTGGCTCTACGTAATTCAGAGCCAAACACCATTCATTCATTTCGCTCTACGTAATTCAGAGCCAAACACAATTCATTCATTTGGCTCTAATTCAGAGCCAAACACCATTCATTCATTTGGCTCTACGTAATTCAGAGCCAAACACTATTCATTCATTTGGCTCTAATTCAGAGCCAAACTCCATTCATTCATTTGGCTCTACGTAATTCAGAGCCAAACACTATTCATTCATTTGGCTCTACTTAATTCAGAGCCAAACACCATTCATTCATTTGGCTCTACGTTATTCAGAGCCAAACACTATTCATTCATTTGGCTCTACGTAATTCAGAGCCAAACACCATTCATTCATTTGGCGCTATGTAATTCAGAGCCAAACACCATTCATTCATTTGGCTCTACGTTATTCAGAGCCAAACACTATTCATTCATTTGGCTCTACCTAATTCACAGCCAAACACCATTCATTCATTTGGCTCTACGTAATTCAGAGCCAAACATTATTCATTCATTTGGCTCTAATTCAGAGCCAAACACCATTCATTTGGCTCTAATCCAGAGCCAAAACACTCTTCATTCATTTGGTTCTAATGCTTACTCAAACAATGAATATTTCATACTGTATACTATAATATACAAATGAACATTAATTAAAGAAAAATAATTAAACAAACATTCAGAATCTAAATTGTTAAAAGTAAGGCTCAATATGCGTATATTGCAGCATTAATTTTTTTAAATTTTGGCCAATATAAGATCTGGCAATGTGACGTCTAAAGAAAAAGCGAATGTAATTTTTTTGAAAATAGTATACGTACATGATATTGGCAAGGAATTTTTGATGCAGAAATTTTAAGAAATTTCCGTAAGAAAATTGAATACCTGGAAATATTCAGAAAACATCCTGGGTCCCTGACAATACACGGACTGTTCTCATCGCTAGTATGTACAATTTTCATTATTGATTCGACATACTCAACATACATATTTACCATTAACTTTCCTCTAGAAATATTTATAATTGGCGTGCTTGCGATCTTAATCCTCGGCGTACATGTAATATTGCGCACATGAAAGTTTCAAAAGAAAGCCCCGTACAGAGGGTGTACTTTATACATACATAATTATACATAACCTGGAGTGTATTATTTACATGGAGTTTACATACATGGCAAGCACACGTTTTTATGGCTTCTTGTAATGATTCCCGCATTTTGTTGAATGCGTTGAATTCAATCTAGTATTTAAATGAGTGGTAAATATATTCCTGATAAAGAGGATTACTGTCTCGTTTTTCGAAAAATTTATTAAAGAACTAAAGTTTCGCGCAAATTAGAAGCAATATTTATACCGCACCGAACGATGGATAGCGGAGACAAATTTTAACGGCATTTTCATTATAGGAAAATAAATTAAAGCTTGGTTCATTCGGAATCTCTTCCTCCAAACACACTTTGTCGTGGCGCACACGTATCATTAATGATTTTTTTTATTGAAATATCATACAAAATGACAGCCACGCACCCATATGGGCTTCAGAATCGAGATTCAACACGGTAATTAGAATAGGTCAAAACCTGGACGAAGATCCATTCTATGCTATTATATGTAGAGACGACATTTGTAGTACAATTAAGCGTCAAAGCACTTTCAAAGTTCAAGAAAAAAGACATTCTGTGCAACAAGACGATCATTCAATCGACCTGAATTTTAGTTTCAATAGTTCATGAAAGTTTCTCCGCAGACAAGTTTTTCGTTTAAATTTTTTGTCCCCTAAAAGAAACTAAAAGATTTTCTTAACTAAAAAATTTAAGGATTTTCTTCCGTTCCGAAAGTTGAGCAAGAGTTTCCTATTAATTGAAAAATCAAAAATATTTTAAATACGGATTTGACACGTAAAATTTATGACACGTAAGTGTATGGGAGTGATGTACCAGAAACTATCAAACCTCATGACAATAACATCATCTCAAGTCATAAAGATATTAAAGTTGAAGAGTTTAAATTCATTTCATAAAATCGTAAATTTCATGACGTAGGATCGAAAATTGGCCATTCCAATTTCAATTTCTCAGACCAATAGTCATGCTGAGACTTGCTTTCGACTTGTCCATAAAAAAACTTTGTGTTTTCCACCATAAATAGTTTTTTTTTTTCGTTTATCGTACTCGGCTATCAACAGCGCCTGAATATTTTGAATATTTTTTGCTCGAGCAATTCAACTAAAGCTCGTTGACTTCACAGCGATGATTTCTTCGCTATATTTCTGAATGAAACATTCTTCACTCATATCGTTACTGGCTTCAAATGAATATCTCACGACTTGTTTAATAAAGTATATTTTTATAATTATCAGACTAATAAGAAATATTGCATTAATTGAAAGTTATTCCAGTACTTTTCGTTGTTGGTCACATGGCAGAGGGATCTTGCACTTCGAGATTTTCAATACAAAATTAATCTGAACTCCTCTTCATGCTATGTGAATTTTATAAGATATTTCAACAAATTTAAATGTGTTCAAATGTGAAAAGTGGTATTCCGATGGCCACCAAAACTGTTTCTCACATGGCGACAACCGATACCGTTCCTGACATGGCAGCCGTTTATCTTGTTCCTCACACGGCGGCGACTGATCCTGTTCCTCACATGGCGACGACCGATCTTGTTCTTCACGTGGCGTCCATTGATCCTATTCCTCACATGGCGGCGACTGATTCTATTCCTCACATGGCGGCAACCGATCATTTTTCTCACATGCCGTCCGTTGATATTGTTCCTCACATGGCGGCAAACCGATCCAGTTTCTCACATGGCGGCAACAGATCATTTACATGGTACCAAGCCAGGCCTGGTAGCTGTGTGGTCGTCGCGTGTCGCTCCTTCACAAGTTCTGGAATCCTTGGTAGTTCTTCCAGGCCGCAGCGGCGGACGCCGCCTTATCGTCGTAGGACTCGAGGCAGTCCTGCGGCAGCGGCGTGAGAGACGCCGGCGCCCCTGAAGGACTCCTAGGACTCGCCTGATTCAGAGCCGATGAGTGAGTCAAGGATGGGTGACTCAAGGACGGGTGACTCAGGGATGGGTGACTCAAGGATGAGTGGTGAGTCAGAGCTCCTCCAGAGTGAGTGTGGCTGTTGAGCGAAGCTCCGCTGTTGAGTGATGATGAACTTAGTGATGACACCAAGTGGTGTGATGAACTCAATGGTGATGAACCCAAGGATGAACCTAACGGTGATGAACTCAGCCCCGACGAGGCGGAGTGGTGATGAGCGCCCAGGTGCTGGTGGTGAACAGAGCTCATTGGGTTCAACGAGTTCATTGAACTCATCTGTTGAATGAAACACGGATGCTCTTAAAAATAACAATTAATAAATTGGCTTATAGGATGAATACTCTAATTTATATAAGACAGACCTTCTTTATCAAGAAATAAAAGCGAAGAAATAATGCACGGGACAGCTATTTGAAAGTCAGCCGGTCATATTCACGAAATTTTGAAGAAAAATCAAGAAAACAATTATACATTATGCATTCATATTAAAATTTAACGTCAAATAACAAAATTAAAACGTTGACCCTACATTAAACTTCCTTGGGTAATTATGTTCTCTAATTGTATTATTATTGATTATTATTATTATTTTATATTACACCTTATTACACCTTACTAGAGAATCATCTCGTCTACAATTATATCATCGTCTAAATTATCATTACTCGTCTGTCATTGAACCATCACCAGTACAGTTCACTGGTGACCCACTATTACCTGAGAGTGAGTCATGGGTGCCAAGTACTGCATGGTGACCCACTATTACCTGAGAGTGAGTCATGGGTGCCAAGTACTGCATGGTGACCCACTATTACCTGAGAGTGAGTCATGGGTGCCAAGTCCTGGTGACCCACTATTACCTGAGAGTGAGTCATGGGTGCCAAGTAGTCCATGTTGGAGTAGTAGGAGTGGGCGCCGTACCCCTGGTAGCAGGCTCCCCCATAACCCCCCCTCTCGAGACCCCCGCCCCCCATGAGGTCCCCCATGGCGGGTAATGAGGACGCCTGGTGGGGGATACCGGCGGGGGACCAGATGGAGTTGTAGGGGGTCGAGGGGGGCAGGGATAGGGATGACCCTGAACTGACGGACGGTGGGGGCGATGGGGGCGACGCGTCCCTAGGGTTGTTGGACGGCGTCAGGGGACCAGATGGGGTTGTAGGGGGTCGAGGGGGGCAGGGATAGGGACGACCCTGAACTGACGGACGGCGGGGGCGACGGGGGCGACGCGTCCCTAGGGTTGTTGGACGGCGTCAGGGGCGACGTGAGAATTGTTTTATTTTATTTAACACGGACTCCTGACGCTCAGTTATCCTACTAGGAGCTATACTGGACCATCATTATAGCCATATTATACTATAAGTATATGGTTAAATAATATAATGCATGTATATATTTATGTACAGATATATTAGTATTAGATGGCAGAATTGGCTTAATTGTTTATATATACACGGGCGATTAATGACCAGAGTATTCGTTTATTTGAATTATTAGAGAGAGGAACAATTCTTCAGATCACGTTGGTATAAAGAAAGACATATTTCACTAGATAGTTTTAGTTTATTAACGACGTTTTGAATGCAACAAACATTAATTTTCAAATTACAAGATACATTAAATAAAAAGTACATACATATTGCAATATGTGGCCATGTAGTACAACAAGTAATTTTCTCAGGGACACAATTGAGAAGCACACCAAAGCAGAGATATTTGAAGTGCAATATTGTGTAAAATTACGAATCCTGCACTTGCATTTTGTAATTTAATAACTAAATTTAGGGAACGATTTAAATTTAATAATAGTTACGGACAAGATCTCTGAGAGAAGTTGTTCTTCCATATTATAGAAGAGGTGAAGAAGGTGCAATTTTGTCCTAGCTCTAAAAATTGTTGTATTTTTAATTGTTCTTTTCTCCATTCAGATGAGAAATTCAGGAACGTTGTAATAGGTCGATGTTAAATATACTGCGCTGGTGTGATAACGAAACCAGTACCCAACCAGAGGACGTGAGGAGAAGGCGCCTTCAGTATTAACTTTTAAAAACCATTAATAGTGAACTGCAAACCATTAACAGTTAACTGTAAACCATTAATATTTAACTATAAAACATTAATAGTTAACTGTCAACCATTAATATTTAACTATAAACCATTAATACTTAACTGCAAACCATTAATAATGAAATAATGAAATGCAAATCATTAATAGTGAACTGCAAACCATTAACAGTTAACTGTAAACCATTAATATTTAACTATAAGCCATTAACAGTTAACTGCAAACCATTAATAGTGAACATTACACCAATAATGGTTAACTACAAACCATTAATATAGTGGATGGGTGATAGACTTCACCTGTATTCTGCTCTCTGGCAAGTTGATCTTGATAGCGACCTCCTCCCTCATGAAGATGTCCGGGTAGCGCGTCTTGCCGAAGAGCGTCTCGAGGATGTCGAGCTGCGCGCGCGTGTACGTCGTGCGCTCCCGACGCTGCTTGCGGCCTGGGGTGGCTGCTGTCGGTGGTGTGCACCGCGGTGTTAATTATAGTTGTTATTATAATTAATAATTACATACACTGTTATTCTAAAAATTATGTATCAGCCAGTAGACTAATAATAAGTATTTTGTCTGCATTGTGATCGAGATTCGCTGCTTGCGACCGGGGGTGGCTGCTGTCGGCGGTGTGCACCGAGATGTTAATTATACTTGTTATTATATGATTAATAATTACATACACTGTTATGCTAAAATTTCTGTATCAGATAATAGACTAATTATAAGTAGGTATTTTGTCTGCTAATTATAGTTAATAATTACATACACTGTTATTCTAAAAATTCTGTATCAGGCAAGAGACTAATAATAAGTATTTTGTCTGCATCATATGATAGAGATTTGTAATTTAGATTTGAAAGAAGCATTCAATATTTAGGATGACATTACAAGTTTTAATACAAATTAAAAATTAAAGGTCGATCGTTAAAGATAAATCAACATTTCTGTTTCAGATTCTGAAGAAATTTCAATATTTGTGTTACATTGCAATTTATAAGTCCAAATCGGCCGCTAATATAAATTTGATTTCGCAATTATTTGTTTTGAAAAATACTATTGTCGAAGACGTTGGTGAAAGCTTGAGCTGATAACGCTATAGCTTAAATTCAAGACGTAACAGAACCAAATGGATGAAAGGATAATTCTGGGAATTTAAATTTGGATATCATTCAAATAACAAACATGCAAGATCTAGGGTAATATGACAGCATTCAAATGAAATCACGCGCTGGAAAGAAGCGTAGTCACAGTATTACTATAATCATAACAAATTACATATATTATAAAAACACGTGCACAACCAATCATGCGGTTCACATAAAAATTCGCATGCTTTAATATAATTTAGATTTTCTTCATTTATCGGTTAGCTCCACTCACTTACATGAGTAAACAAATAAAGTAGAAAATAATGACAAATTGACATTCATGGTCAATTATGGATGGTAATTTAAAAGCATTTGTGCTTCGCCAGAGATAATTTTAAAAGGAAAATCTGTCGAGGTGGAGGTAGCACCTTCGTCTTGAACAAAAATAAATGCAACTTCTCGTAATATACGAAATAGAATGAAAATTCTATTCAATAAAAAGTCAAACAATATTGATAAATAAAAATAAAACAAAATTCAAACAATATTGAAAATTCAAACAATAGTAAAATTTAAACAATATCGTCGTACGGCGATAATCGCATTTAGGCAAGACTTATCATATAAGTTGCAAATGCAGCCGAAAGTCGAGACTATATATATTATTGAAAACTAATTTTATGGACCCACAATACAAGAGGCCACGTCATTCAATTACTGCAATAAAACATTTAAACGCTGATTCAACCCAATGAAAAATAACCGTAAATATGAAGCGATTAATGAGTTAATTATAGACTTAGAGTCATGAAATTGTGTCAAGTCAGTTAAACAAAAATACTAAATAATAGCATTACACCATTTTGTAACTCTGATACAGATTACATGTATAAGTACAACATGCAATTTCTGCTCATAATAAATTTACATTGGAATTTTCTGATAATATGATAAGATTTATGCCTAGGCATAAATCTTCCAGTAATATTATTGTTTCAATTAAACGTGTTTTTGCTTTCGAGGCTTAAATTTAAAAGTGTACATAATTTTCTCATCATGAGGAATAAGCGCGTAAAAATTTAATTGCACAATCTATTCCCTACTCCTTCAAAGCAATTTACAGCGAGAATCATAAATATATTTTTATTTAAGTAACCAGAGGAGTTTCGTAATCAAGATGTCGTCAAATATTAAACACGACCAACGATCGACCGGCAGTCCATATACCGCCGCCCCAACTGCAGGCTATCAAGTCTTTTAAAAAGACGTCGCCCAATATTTGCTGACGGGATGTAGCGGCAAATCTCAGGCACGTGAGTGTTGAAGTCAAACTTCCTACCCCAGTGTCAGCGCCATGACTTGGCTTCATTGCGATGTCTTTTGCCGCTACGATAGTGGTTTTGAAGTAGAAAATTTAGAAATTGACAAGCATTGAATTTCAGTGAATCGGGATGATGAAAGAAAGTTCAAATAATGATTCTATATTAAAAACAAAGTTATTTTTTAAAAATGAGTGAAAAAGCTACGTGTTTATTCGCAGTTCGATCGAGCTGATACTTCCTAACAGAAGATTTGGAAATCGCACAAAAATCAGAGAACATTTATTTTGAATCTTTGATAGTTTCCCGTCAGATTGAATTTGCTGTGTCTAGATGTGAAATAGAAACATGATCAGGAATTTTTACATGGTCAAGTATGTATTCAAATGAATTGAAATATGTCGATGGGCTCTTGCGGTCCAAATGCAGATTCAAATATCACTATTAATTATAAAACGAACGCATTGTAATAAATAGATAAAAAGTACAATGCACAAATCGATAAGAAAATTTGTTTGTTTCAACGGTCGTCATGCAGATCTGACTTCCGGTGCCCGCGCGTGTCGCGTATGTAGTCCACGCGCGCTGACGTCTGCGGTGTATGCAGTCTTTATTTTTATTTAATCCCCCGACCGATCCTCTCATTAGCGACCAGCCATCATCGAGAGGTCCAAGCACAGACATTAATTGGAAGACGTGAATTAAATTTTATCAAACAGCCTGTGGCTTACAGAAGGTTTCAATTAATTATGAAATTAGCTTTTCAATAGGATTTTCCTGCGTTCCAGCTGGAAAAAGTTTTCTAACGTAGAAGCGAAGTATTCTTCTACCACTAAAGTCTTTCAAATTGTGATAAAACTTCCGAGAAGAACAGTACATATGTGATTCATGTACAAAATGTTATGATCGAGTTCTCACTTCATTATAACTGTTTTTGCACATTCGTTATCATTAAATATCAGTTTATTTTCGAAAAAAATCACATGCCTCTAATTTATATGGAGCCATCATTTATCTTTCGCCACTTAAGACATCAAATTCAGAAATCATCAAGGAATAAAATAATCTCACATAACTTTCTCATCAGATTGTATATTAAAATTACGATTTGTTATTTCAAACCGGAATCGAAAGGTTTGCGTCAGTGAAATAATTTCACTGACACCCGTTGCAAATATTCATGCTTAAAACATTTTGCAATTGAGCGATCGCTGCATGACGCACGCGTGCAAAGCACTCATTTTAATTGGTGTGGCACCGACAGTGGCCGCGACGCCTTTCTTTCATCACTAATTGGTTATATCCTCTTAACGAAAGCTTGTGACAGCTTCAGCAGGTCTAAGCTGAGGCGAGGTTGCTTCTTTTTAATGCATGGCATTTACTGACAAACCGGCCGTCATTAAGGCTTGATTATCTCATTTATGTCAGGATTTGCAGGCTCTTGTCGACCTGCAGTGAATGCATGAGTCGCGCGGACGAATCGACTGACATTGCCGAATGGCTGCAAATATAGGGTAAAAAATTAAAGTCATTGCAATTTGGCTGCAAATATCAGCGAATAATTTAAATTGTGAAATGACGTGTGTCGGTTACCATGGACTCTAGCAGTCCCATTAATACGAATATACAACAAAACTGAAATATTTAATATAGGCTCAAAACACGCGACACTGTTTCAGAGTGAAATGAACATTAATGCGCAAAATCATTCATCAGCATTGTATAAATAATAAATAAGTTTCAATGATTCTGATTTCTGTTCATGTTACTTGAAAAACTAAATATTACCAAAATAAAATTGTCGTGATTGGTAACCTTCAATATCATTCTCATTTTTAAGTTATCGAAAACTTTTAACAAATGTTTAAAAGTACACGCGTAAATAAAGACCAGAGCATCAAATACTATTTCGATGAAAAGTGTTGGGCAACTGAGGCTTACATATTTCAAATTTCATATAGACATCGCTCTTTTGTGGCTGGATCTCTCGAGGGCATCAATAAAACTGGTCTCAATAACTGTATAAGTTCGGTGCGTAAAAGGCTTTCTCAGGAGTTGAAAAATAAGCCTCCCCGATCGCCAAACGCAAAACTTGAGGTAAAATCAGCGACGTTGCAGCAGGGAGCGATCAAAAATTCTGTCAGGCTGGAGCCCCATTGAAGTGGTCTTTGCGGAATTCTTTTTGCTCGTCGATCGCTTCGACAAAAATCTATTGAGAAGAAACGTTCTTATAGAGAACGAGTCCGTTCCCCTCGTCATCCTCACTTCGAGAGAGAGACTTGCTGAGCGAGTCAAAGAAATCACCACAAAAGTCTTCTGAAAGCTCGAGCGAGAAGTGCTCAGGATCAAGCCGATCGAGTAGAGGGATGGCAGTGAGGGTACATATACAGAGGGCTGTGAGGAGTCATGTGACGTAAACCTATTGAGTGTGCAACGTGAGGGACATTGTACGCAACAGAGAACATTTTAAAGTTGTCGTACGTGGCGGCAACCATAAGGGCAAGTCATTTTGCACTCACTAGCAGCGTATGCGTTTTGGAAAGTAGGCTTGTGACAATATTGCTCCGGTTACTCATGTCAGGTGGTAGGGGGTTAGATGCAGAATAGCCAGATTTGAGAGCTTTCATGAAGATTCATTTCATAAGAAAGAATGGGTAAAGTTCGATGTTTTTGCAATCTTTTTGATTAACCTTAATTTTGTGGAAATCCTTTCACGTGCTATTAATTTTGCCCTCTGGTACCCACTTTAGAGATAAGTGATTGTACAATGGGTGTATATTGTGAATAATATTCTCTCAAACTGTCAGCAAAAGCCACAATTAACAAACAAGCCTTACTGACCGATTATTAACTCAAAGAAGCAAATTTAGACAGTTAAAATGAAATATTTTTCGAAACAGATAATTTGCAACGGCATTAGAAAACTCGTGCAAAAATTGTTGACTCTTCGTAACGCTCCAGAAGCGAAAGGATTTGTAGTCGCACTCGTGCCATTAAATTGTCGAGGGAATGTTAACAGAGGAACCCTTGCAAACAGACCGACTCCCCTCCTGTTAAGCTGCCTAATAGTTCCAACGGAGGGCGTTGAGGCTTCTCCGGTTGCCTGTTATGTTTCAAGTGGCCTATAATTCACTCGAACCTCAACTCTTCAGACTTTTCAAGGAAGGTTCATTTCAAAAATCGTGTGTGTAAAATTTTCAGGATTTTCAAAGCTACACAGAAAGTATCGACGAGCAACGAGCCTTGCAATGGGAACGAAAACCTGAGAGCTTGATTGACTAATCTCTAATAAAAATATTGACACAGAAAAATGTCGGAAAAGTTGTTAATTGGACTCAAAATATCACAGAGGGTGAATTAAAGTAAGAACGGCATTTGTGCGATGGTGAGTTTTTTCGAATTATAAATAAGAAAAGCTTTAATTACCGGCGTGATAAGTTATTAGGCGAGGAAAATATATAGAATGCGGGATATGTTAGAAGTCTGTGTCAGAAACATATCAGAGAATGAACGTATTCATGTATTTTGAATGAGGATGCATGACAGCGGATAAGAAAACCGGATACCTTTCATGACTGTATAGATTGTCACGCAATACACTACAACACAACCGCGTATTTCGCAAATATGCATGTAATCTCTCGTGCACTAAACTTTGCAAATTTTTCCCGATGAAAAATATAAAAATATTTTTTTTTGTAGGTACCAAAGTTTCGTAAATTGATATCAAAACAAGAACCAATATAGATACATAATGCAATGCACGAATTTATTTGGGCGATTTTTTAAAATTCCACCTGATAATAAGCTGTAGTCACAATTTACTCAAATAAAGTTGCATGAGTTACTCTCAAAAGTTGCCTAAGGTCGGGAACAATAGAGCGACCAGCACCAGCATGTGTGGCCGGAGCGGCAGCGTTGCCGGCAGCGGCCGTCGGGAATCAATTCCTGCGCGACGCCTAATTGCCGATCGTCGGTCGCGTGGCGCGCGTTCCGTAAGTTGAGCGCCACGTGCCGATGCCGCATCGCTGTGCCACTTTGCGCCACAGCCAAACAGTGGCTCGAGTCTGGCTAGTGCGATGCCTGTTTAACACATGGCGCGCGATACCTGTTTAATACAGGGCGAGCGATGCCTGTTTAATACAGGGCTCGCGATGCCTGTTTAATACAGGGCTCGCAATACCTGTTTAATACAGGGCGATCGACGCCTGTTTAATACAAGGCGCGCGACGCGTGTTAAACGCCATCTATGACGGTTTCGAAGTGTACTAAGCTCGGTTGGAATATTAAGCTCGCCGTTTATATCAGGTTGTCAGTGCAAAACATATGCATGACGTCATTATTTGCCGCTCCAAAAAGTTTAAAACATGGCTTGGTCTTGTCAACTGTGATCCCATTAACTGTTTAGTTCAACTGTTGAAATAATTAAAAACATCATTCTTTGTAATAACAAATAATAATGTGAGGCTTACATTAATCAGCATGCAACGGCATTGTTCAGTATGGAGTTATTTACAAGCCAAAAGCATCATTATTTATAACAACAATTAATATTGTGGGACTTACATTAATCAGCATGCAACGGCATTGTGCAATGTGCAGTATAATGTTATTTACAGGCCACGGGTTAAACGCAAGCAGCTAATTAAGCCGTGCGGTTATCTGCTCATCACAATTATTACAAGTCATGGACCACCGGCCATCGGCCATTGCTTTATTAAGGAAAATGATTTTTATAGATAGCTAGAAAAATAAACGTTAGAAATAAAAATGAAACCACTAATAAAAACACAAAAACCTGTGAAAATCAAGGGTGGATATTCAGGCTGCACAATTCATCGTTAGTTAAATGGCAACAGCATTTCCGCCAAAAAATTCTCAACATTGCTAGCTGGCATTAACATCAAAACTACGAACTATACAATCAACATTAAAACAACAACAAAAGTATGGAAAAATCCGCGTATACTCACTCCTGTAGGAATATTTATACTCACTGTATAAATAATCAGAGGGGGGCGGGTAGCCCATGCCCGGGTGGAGGCTCTCGACCCCCATGCCGAGGCCGAGGCCGTTCATGCCGTACGGCGCGGGCGTCTTGAGGTACACGCCAGCGGCAGCCGCTGCCGAGCCTCCCGCGCCACAACCGCTGCCGAACCCTGGGAACGCCACGCCTCCTCCCCCTCCGCCACCTGGTTGAGAACACGGTTATTTATTTATTAATGTTACGAGTTCTCGGGATTTTTTGAGAAAATGAAGATTTTAAGTTTTAAAAAGTTAAAAACCCTTATTCTATGGTTGTAAAATCTCCGCCCTGTATCTCCGCCACCTGGTTGAGATTGTTTATTAATTAATTTTTAAGTTGATTTTAACACCGATTATTTATTATTCAATACGCCTCCGTCCCCGCCGCCACCTGGTTGAGATTGTTTATTAATTAATTTTTTTTCAGTTTATTTTAACACCGATTATTTATTATTCAATACGCCCCCGTCCCCTCCGCCACCTGGTTGAGATTGTTTGTTAATTAATTTTTAAGTTTGATTATTTTTTATTTAATACGCCCCCGTCCCCTCCGCTACCTGGTTGAGATTGTTTATTAATTAATTATTTAAGTTTATTTTAACACCGATTATTTATTATTCAATACGACCCCGTCTTCTCCGCCACCTGGTTGAGATTGTTTATTAATTAATTTTTTGGTATATTTTAACCAACGGTTATTTATTATTTAATGTTACGAGTTCTCAGGATTTTTTTGGGAAAATTGAGATTTAACCTTGGGTTAAGGATATAAGAAAAAATAAATTAATTTGACTCGCGCCATATACCATGCGAGTTGAACCTAATGACACATTTTTTTACGTAAGCTTTGAAACATTTAGTAGCGTACGAATTTGCTAGCATAAAGCCGACACATGAAGGTGAGACATAGAACATCAAGAATGAATTATTTTACTCTTCTAAAAAATCATTACCCGCAAATACTACTATTCGTAGTGCACCTCAGAGCAAACATAAACCTCGCTCTTTCGATTAAATAACAAGAAATCACCTTAGTACCACACTTTCCTTACTTTATTGAGAATTAAACTCATGCATCGAGTTGTTATAACTCGAATTAAACTCCTGCGCTGATGTTATATAGCACCCTTCTCATGTGATTGGCAACACTGCAGCACACATCACTCCTCGTAATTGTGGCAAAACTGATACTGTACAGCGCCCTTCTCGTGTGATTGGCAACACTGCTACACATATCACTCCTCGTACGTGTGGCAACACTGATACTGTACAATGCCCTTCTCCTGTGATTGGCAACACTGCTACACATATCACTCATCGTACGTGTGGCAACACTGATGCTGAATAGTGCACTTCTCGTGTGATTGGCAACACTGCAGCACACATCACCCGATCGTACGTGTAGCAACACTGATACTGTATAGTGCACTTCTCGTGTGATTGGCAACACTGCAGTACACATCACGCCTCATACGTGTGGCAACACTGATGCTATATAGCGCACTTCTCGTGTGATTGGCAACACTGCCTAGCACTCTGGTGATCCGCTTAAGCTCATGAGGGACGCCAACTGCACTCTTATGTCACCCGAGCGTAAGCACCTAAATTGCGTCCACTCACACCTCTAAAGAACGACTTAATATAGGCCTTATTATGCATAGTGCGAAGTGAGGTCGTAATGCGTCATTTCGAGCCCAACTGGGACCCCAAGAAAGTTTCAATGGAAATTTGTGGTAATAAATTGGAAGATACAATGCCTTTTACATAGAAAAATTTTTTTTTGTTGCTCCTTGGATTAAACTTTACAATTCCTACATGTTGGATTTCGAATATATGTCTATATGACTATATAATATAATTCGAAAATATTACTCGAGAATTTCATATGAAGTACCGAATATATTTTGCGCATAAATTGCTTGAAAATGATAAAGAAAGTTACGTATACAGAAGCCGATATACAGCTATAGAGACAAACATATGTTAATGTTTTGGCCTTCAGGGCAACTCGTACGGTTTCCGAGAAATAAATGAAATGAGTACTAGCATCTGACCAAGCATGTGTTAAATAAAATCATTCTGAATGTTAATTACCTACTCTTATTAACGAACTCAGTTCAGCGCGTCCAATTGACTCTCATTCAAGGGATCCTATGAGGAAAGATTTGAATCAAGTGCGTAGAAAAGTAGGTCAACTGTCACCGATTGAAGCAAGTCAGTAAGATTCAGCAATTTTTCATTGTATCTGGTATATACAGAAGTCGGATTTCTACAGTCGCATTTGTTGAATGTGCCTATTTTTATGGCGACAAGTTTAAATGCATCGAGTGAGTTCAGCTAATAACTATGACGTGTTCCTGAGCACAATCCCAGATCGACCTCCCCTGCAACACTACCAGCGGCGAGAAGCAAGCAACAGCATCGTGCATCAGGTGGCCCAAATGAGATGTGTATAACGATAATCAGAGGCGGCGATCCATCGTGGCCTGGGACTGCTATGTCCCAAACAAATACTAAGGATACTAAGGATACTAAGGATACTAAGGATACTAAGGATACTAAGGATACTAAGGATACTAAGGATACTAGGGATACTAAGGATACTAAGGATACTAAGTAACACAACGGATAAAATCCAAGGTTTGGTGAGGTAGCATTGGGTCACACGAGGTTCATAATTCGAAATGTATGCTTTACTGTTTGCTATTTGACTTTTAAAGATCAGAAAAGAGGATTAGTATATTCGCATTGATGCCTCATTGTAGTTTGGTGACGGAAAAGTCGCTTAGTATTTGATAAAATATATCCGATCTAAATAATATTACTTCCTTTATATAAAGATGAAGAAAACTTCTTGTGGCTTACGAGATAGAATAATTAAAAATTATCACGCCAGTAGATGTTTTCGTATGTGATATCTTTAAATCCAAATTATGAATAAAGCGACGAAGAAATCAAAAGATTTGAAAGAAATTTACCGATGCAGATCGTCTAGACTTAGAATAGAACGATGAATGCGGCGTACGTTTCTGGGACCGATGCAAATACGAGCAAATAAATCATATATAAATCATATAAATCATAATAGTATAATTATATATTTATATGATATATTATCATATATCGTATAAATAAAGTGACACTGACAACACGATAACGTCCATTCAACGGGCAATTAATAATCTAATTAGATCATATCAGAACTTTATATAGGATTCAAAATGAAGAGTAAAAGAAGAGCAAGGTTGGATTTCCATTTTTCGAGTCAATGAATAGTTTAACTATTCCCAGCCAGTTAGTGAGCTCAAGAGCCAAACCGGAGAAATAGAAAAAAAAACAAGATGAGATGAAATGCTATTTTTAGCGATTGTAAATTAGTGAAAAAATTTCCATTAGCAGAAAACATATCCGAATATTATTGTTCACTTCGAATTAGCCCTCAAAATTTATTTAAAAAATATGTGGTATGATGGCCCAATCATAAATAAATTACTTGAAGATGAAAAGAACTATAAATAACTTAATTTGAAGAATTATTAAGTAACTCATTAAGTAAAGTAAACGTATTATGTAATTAAGTTGAATTACTTTACATAACATAAAGTAATTCAACGTAGGTAAAGTCATTTTTCCTCACAGAAAACCTTGAGCATAGAACAGGAAATAAAGATCTGACGACTAAAAGAGACCCAAAAGACGCGCTAGTAAGAACGTGAGTGGGGCAATGGCAGAAGTCCTGATAATAATTTTTCCACACAGAAAACCTTGAAAATAGAACAAGAAATAAAAATTTAAAGAGTAAAAGAGACCCAAAAGACGCGCTAGTAAGAATGTAAAGTAATTCAACGTAAGTAAAATCATTTTTCCACACAGAAAACCTTGAACATAGAGCAGAAAATAAAATTCTAAAGGCCAAATGAGACCCAAAAGACGCGCTAGCAAGAACGTGAGTGGGGCAATACACAGAAAACCTTGAGCATAGAACAGGAAATAAAAATCTAAAGGCCAAATGAGACCCAAAAGACGCGCTAGTAAGAACGTGAGTGGGGCAATGGCAGACGTCCTGATAATAATTTTTCCACACAGAAAACCTTGAGCATAGGACAGGAAATAACAATTCTAAAGAGTAAAAGAGACCAAAAAGAAGGGCTAGTAAGAACGTGAGTGGGGCAATAGCAGACGTCCTGAGCAACCACCCACAACGTAGCCGAGAAGCACGTACGACGCAACATTAGTCCGGCTTACCGCGCGGCAATGGCACCCATAGCTCACCACCGATAACTTCAAATGACCCGCAACCACCAAAATCACAAATATTTCCGAAAAGGGGACAAAAATTGCGGTAAGAGCTGTGTTTGGTTGAATAAAGTATAAATAAATAACCGGGGAAAAAATAGAAAATGAGAGACTTATCTGACAATGTTGAACTCGTTCCGAAACTATATGACTGTTCCATATTTAGACCAAATTGGGTTGAAGAATTCAGGTAAAAGTTATGAAACATCTTCTAGAACCAAAGAAATGAAACAACATAATTCTTTTTGAATATGGATTGTGTTTTGTGATTATTTCAGATGAATTTATGACAGTAAATGAGTGCATGAATAGCCTAAGAAAACATGTACGAGTAAATTATTATCGAGGTGAATGAAAAAAAAACTGTATATGCAGGAGGAAAGAATTTACATACAGCTAGGTTGAAGGAACAGCGAAAGAGTTGGATATAGAGGACAAAATAGAAGCGAAGGTGTTGAAAATAAAGAGCGAGAAAACTGCAGGAAAGTTGAGTAAAGAGGGTGAAAGGAAGACGAGAGAGTTTGATATTGAGGACGAATGAGCACCTGAGGAGTAGAGATATGGGCCAGGATATCTATTTCTATAGGCCATGGATAATCTAGAGGCCAGGATAATCTATATCTTTTGCTGTTCGAATGAGATATAGAATAGAAGAACAGCAAGAGAAAAGAAGGAAAATGGATGACGAGCTTGAAAAACAAACCAAGCAGAGGGCTAAAGAGAAGAGAAAGTAGGAACGATGTAAGACACTAATGAAAGATTTATAAAAATACTAATCACTAATGAAAGATCTATAAGGATGTAAACTAGCGAGAGGAAAAATGTTTATAATGGAAGAACAGCACTTGAATAAAGACTGAATGAAAGACCT